CAGGAGGAAGCCTGACTCAGCAGCTGTATGAGTTTGCTGCTGTCCTTCAGTCCCTGTGCTCAGCACATGTCTTTGAGGCAGCCTCTTCCACCCCGTGCGTCAGCCCTTATACCACATTCACCTGCAGTCCTAGTTCCCCATCCCAGCCCTGGTCAGTCACCATGGACTAGGTGAGGGCTAATCTTTGGAATACGATCCAGCTCCGTCCTCTTGCTAGGCTCACTGTCTGCATCATTGTTCATGCTGTGTGCATAAGGGTCTTCTTCAGGAGGTGGGTAGCTTCAGTGATGGGGGGGTTTCCTATTAAAATGAGCGAAGTTCAGCTAGCGGACAAAACATTTGCAGCTAGTTAAAGACTGACATGACCAAATTGCCAAGATTCTGGTAGAACGGGATGAGGCTCCTCATTTCTTAAATTTAAATGCTTAGCCAGGTGTTTATGACCTGACTTTATCATAAATCTGGTAACCTAGTGACATATCTCACATCACTGGGGTGAGCAGCCACTGGCACTGCCTGCTGAGACCCCCCAGACCCGCTTCTGAGCCGCAGCGCCATGCACCACAGCTCTCAGTACCTCTCCTCCAATGCCACCATTCTCTTTCAGGAGCACCATCAAATGCATTACTCCCTGACCAGGTATGCAGAGGAGCTGCTGGGGGTCCTCTCTGCTCACCTCTTGTGCCTCCAACTCTGCGCCGGTGTCTTTCCGCTGGGCTGAGTGTTTGGTGTCTCGACGTGGCCTTCTCTGAGCCTATGCAGGGAGCCCCAGTGGGTGTCTCTGCTTACAGCTGGCCACCACATCCTGGCTGCAGTCACAGTGTTGTCCCAAAACCTGGGGTTTGTTCACCTGGTGTGCAATATGCCAGTCCACACTCCGAGTGGGGGGCATTTCCTTTTATTACATATACACGTATATAGGGGTGCCTGTCCCAAGACAGCACACGGAAGATCCAAATCAAATTATTTACGCACAAAACACGTTAACATATTCATCTTTCTAATACATATACCTTGTTATTCTGTTAAATGATTAGTTAAGATTTCTTCGTCTAGAAAGCAAATCAGAACACACGCTCAGTTTCCTACTTGTTCTCTTTTGAGTAGATGGTGTCGTGGATTTATAATAAAAGAACTGAGGGTTGAGACAAGAACAGAGAGGGAGCACCCACCAACCATGGTCCCGGGCAATGGTCCCGGGCAAAACAGACTCGGCTTTCTTAAAGCAAAACAATTTATTAACAGTTGCTTAAAAAGGACAAAGGGAAACAAAGCTGGTTACTTGAGAGGATAAAGAGAAAACAA